GAAGCGTCAGAAGCATCTCTTAGAAGAATCTGAACGCTGCCTACAGAAGATTATGAGCGCTGCCTATAGAAGGATCTGAAGCAGAAGCTACAGAAGGATCTAAAGCAGAAGCTACAGAAGCATCTGAAGCATTAAAGACTTTGTATAAAGAGTTTCAAGCATAGTTTTTCAGAAGACTCTGGTAGTACTGTACGCTGCAAGTACTGAGGATCTGATCTCAAACTCTGCTCTGAATTATTACACGTTGAAAGCACACTTGCTGCAATGCTCTGATACAGCAAACTCTGATGAACATAAAGACTCTGATCATTCAAGACTCTAATGTTATTTGCTGAAGTATTAGAAACTTGTTGAAGAAGAATTCAAAGTTATGTCCGTTGGTTAGGCCAAATGACTCTTTCCTCATTTATGCTAGACACTAGAACACAGGCAAAAAGGATTTCTCTGAACATTCTACTTCTAGGAAAGGTCAAGTGATGTGAAGACAAAAAGGCTACAGCTCTTTTCAGTACACGGTCTTCAAAGTGCAAACGTCTTGGACTTCTGTGCCTATAAAAGCAAGTCTCCAACACTCTTCTTCAGTTGATGATTATTGAAAGAAATTCATTGAAAAGCTCTTATACAATTTATTCTCATTGCTGAATTTATTCCATTCGTTCTTAAAACTTAAGTGTAAATCACAGTTGTGATATAGCTTACTTAGAAGCATTCTAACACTTGTTTAGTTTTACATATTGATTATAAAAGTTCCTTGAGAAGACCCAGTTGTGGTCAGTAGTTCTTGAGAAGACTAAGAACAGTTGCTCTTAGTGCTTGCTATTGTAATCAGTTTGATTAATAGTGGATTAAGTCCTTGTGGAGAAAGGCAAATCACTCTTGATAGGGTGGACTGGAGTAGTTGAGTTCAACGAACCAAGATAAAAATCTTTGAGTTTTTATTGCCATAATATTTTCTATATACTTATTCAACCCCCCTTCTATGTATTTTCTCACCTTCAATATTCAGTTGTTAAAGCGATAAACCGTGACATCGAGGGGTTATCGCACCATTGTTATAACTGAGGTTGGAGCATCGTAGCATAGGAACTTCAAGCTTGCCTTCATTTTACTTTCAAGTCAGATTTACTTTCCAGCATTGTACCAGATTCAAGTCTCCGATTTAGAGTAGGTTTTATTTTACTCGCACTTTTATTATTTACTTTCCGCCTTGCATTAATTTGTTTAATTTTCGCACGATTTATTTATCGCTTTTTATTTCAAAGATCTATTTCCAAGAGTAAACTTAAGAGTGACACTTTGCTTCTTACCTTTGGAAACCGATCACACATTTATTCTCCGCATGATTTACATATCGCTTTTATTTCAAAGATTCGTTTTTCTAAGAGTGAACTCAAGCGTGACACTTTTGTTCTTCTGAAAATCAATCACGCATTTATTTTCCCGCACGATTTACATATTGCTTTTATTTCCAAGATTCGTTTTCTGAACTAAACCTAAGAGTGGAACTTTTGTTCATTTGAAAAACCAATCATGCGCGTTTCATTCCCTAAATGATTTATTCTACAAACAAATTATTTATTATGTTTCTCACCGTCATGTCTAGCTAAATCTGTTGTGTTGGGATGTGAGGATCGTCGTCTCGACGGTACTCTATATGTTGTATTTGTAGAAACACTTTAGCGGATGTTTTGGATTTTAATGCAACTTTTCTAAACTTAAATTGATCGACCATTACGCAAACAGGACCGTGTTTTTGTTTACGTAATAACCGTGACTATGTCGGGTAAGATTGAAAGTCGTCTGACACCTTAGATAAGAGTTAGTTAGTTTTTAATTGGTAAAAACAGCAAAAGCGCTTTATTAAATAATTAGAAAAGTTTGGTATCATTAGAAAGTGATTTTAAAACTATTTTTGGACGCGTTCATAGATTTAAGATCCGGTTGGCCGAGCATATGCTGGACACCCTTTGATATTAAAGTTTCCAATCAAAAACACTTTTTAACTGAGTCTTAGAGATAGTTATTTTAAAAAAATGACTTTTTCACTTTAACGTAAGATGCGACCAGTGCAACATGAACGACTGGTATAGATTAAATGTCAGGTCTGGTTCCGATTACACTAACGCGACGGTTCCTTTTTTATTAACTCTTTTTCAAGAAAGAAAATATTGCCCCATAAGTATTATTACTTAGACAATAAGAGTATTGTTTGATCAATGAAAATTACATTCCAATATGTATTCTGAATTTAAATTCATTCCTTAATTTTTATTTTCTTTGTGCGTATTGCTCTCTATTTTCATTAGCTTTAGATAAACACCGTAACAATAGTAATCGATAGATTGACATTGGTCTCTGTGGGATCGATAATCTTACTCTGATGTACTCTGTAAACTTGCGGATAACGCGCATCAATCGTTCATTTTTAAACTTCAAATTTCTTCATCTTCATTCTCTTATTTTAATTCAAATTTCAAATCTCTTTTCCATTTTATTTTCCTACACTTTCATTTTAAATTTTTTAACACTTCATTTTCTTTTACCCTTTTAATTTTTTAAATATCCACTATCTTTCTATTAAAATTAACTACCATTAAACTACTTAAATTACTCATTCCTTTACATTAATTTACATTAATAAAAGATTAAAATAAATAAATAACTAATGTCTCAATTTTTTTTCCACACATGATCTCATTCCATTCATTATATCTATAAATGTATACAATATTGGACCTAGAGGTTGGTATCTAAAATATTGATATAAATGTATACAATATTGATATTTAATTTTTTTTTAAAGAAATTTAATCAGTTCTATTTATATATTATTATTATTATTATTATTATTATTATTATTATTATTATTAAAAATATTAATGAATCTATTTTTAAATTTTAATAAAATTAAAAGTTTATTTTATAAATTAGATAATTCTCAATAGTTATGCAATTAACTTTCTATCTCATAGAATACTATTAAAAAAATATTTATTTTATTTTAATTAATAATTTTTATCATTTAAGATGAAAAAATTCTTATTTTCAAATATCAAAATTTTTCTTTTTTGTCACGGGTCACTATCAGCAAAAATACTTATTTTATTTTAATTAATATTTATCTTTATTTAAAACACAAAATTATTATTTTTAAAATATAAATTTTTTTATTTTTTTCACAGGTGACTATCATCAAAATACTTATTTTATTTTAATTAATAAATATATTTATTTAAAACAAAATTTTTATTTTCAAATATCAAAATTGAATTTATATTATAATTATTCATATTATAATTAAATAATTCATTTTTATATTAAATAAATATATTTACGCAGATGTCCGAGTATTTTGTTAGTTTGTATAAAAAAGTAACCTAACAATATTAAAAAAAAAAACAGTTGACAGAAAAAACATAGAGGTTGGTATCTAAAAAAACAACCACAGAAGACTGTTTTAATAATTCCTTTTATAAAAATGAAAAGTAAATTACTACACAAACATATGGATGGACAGTATATAAGATAAGATACATGCATATGAGGCTATGAGCTAGTTAACATGGATTCCTTAATAAGACAAAAGAAATATACTACGTGAGAAAGGGCACATGTGTGTTTGTGGAAACTGGGTTTTATAATTTGTAAAACGACCTTTCCATTCACCAAACAACGTCTTTACTTGACCTCATGATAATGTGAAGGGTAAGGATTTGTGACTCTTTGCTTTTAGAGTCGTCTAAAACCAGAACATCTATGCATGCACTCAACTAGATAGTTAATATCTAATTTTATTTTAACAAAAATGAAATATGAAATGCAGGGAAGCAGTTCGAATTTACCACATTTTATTTGTTCTCTTAAAAAAAAAAAATTTCGGTCACTAAATTACAATTGTTTCACAACAAATATTCAAAAAAAATTGCATTACAAATTAAAACACACCCTTTATTTCTTTTCTGAAAAACTATAATAGTGAAATACTAATTAATAGCAATATAGGGAGATAAAAAGTTAGTTACATTTTTATTATTTTTAGAGTATTAATAATGTGCATGTATATGTTAAGTAGTATATGCATTATTTTTCAACTACTCTTAATTTTATCTTAATTTTATTGAGCATTTGTTCAGTGAGGATAATTTGAAAGATTTCGCCTCTAGAAAGATATTTTTGTAGTTTTTTTTTTTAACATTTACCTTCCTATTATAGAAAAGATTAATAATGTAGTTTGTTTTTTTTACCTTTGACCCTCCCTATTATAAAAAAAATTAATAAAGTAGTTGAATGAAATTCGAGAATAATATGACACGACCGAATCAATTGATGTTAGGATCTTAAACTTAATAATATCATATATTTTTATACATATATAAAATTTTATATAAATAAAAAGTAATTTAATGTATTGATGAAATCCCTCAAAACTAAAATCTTTAACTTTAAGTATTTTTAATTGATAAATTATTAAGTACAATTTTTAGCAAAATCTATTTAACATTTTAATTTATTTTAAAATTAATTATTATAAAAAAAAATGAGATAAGATTCTATGAATGAAGGATAGATAGATAATTAATCAAATTCTAATAGTATCAAAATGTTCACCTTTTAAATTTTATATTTCAACACCTCATAATTTAAATTTATGCTAGAACGGTGGCAATGTTGTCGTAACAATCAAAATGATCGCAATCCTCATATGTTGTCCAAACTCATATAAAGTCAATAAATGATGATGACTGAATGTGCTGCATATGATTCTTGATGTATTTGCATGATATGTTTATATGGACATATTTGTGCACTGAAAACGGAAATTTGGTATATAACTTATATTTACATTACTTAGCAGTCAAAGAATCTTGACTACCTATAACTAGGTCAAAGAATCAAATAAACAATACTCCATCCCAATAATAACAACTGATTCATACACTTGCACATAATAAACCACTTATAACATACAGAATTCCACATCCACCACCTTTTTTTCTCTCCTAAAACACAAGCAAATCCTTCTTAATATCATACCCCATCTTCTCCAAATTTGGTTGCACAGCAAACTGAATCATAGGTGGTGGCCCACAAGCCAATGCCAAAGTATCCTCACCACCCAACGGGACATGCTCCCTCATGATACTCTCCGTGATGAATCCCACACTATATTCCCACCCTTCTTTTGCATTTTCCACGACATACCAAATCTTAAACCTATCACTATATATCTTAGCCCATTCATCCAATGCTTCCCTCAACAATATATCATCCTCCGTCCGATTCGCATAAACGACATACATTTCAGTTCGATCATTGGTGTCCTTCAAAATCGCATTCGCCACTTGAAACACCGGCGTGATCCCGCTTCCGCCTGCCAAAAATGTTAGCTTTTTCGCAAACCTTTGTTTCCCATGAACCATAATGTTTCCTCTACCAAGATACTCAATGTGGCCTACCGGGCCTTTTACTTCCACTATTGACCCAATAGTAAGTGAGTCCAGATATTGTGACATGAGTCCACCGTTAGGAAACTTGGGGTGCACGTTTTTGAAATAGATTTTGACAACTAATTCAAAATATCCAATTTCATCAATGCTACTTGTTGGCGTATACGCTCGCATGATCAATTTCCCATCGACGGAAACACATAAAAATATGTGTTTCCCGACGGGTAATCCCAATAATTGATCTTCTGAGGGTAATGCGAACCGGAAGAGTCTTACATCATGTGAAATTGATGTTTTTGAAATGAGCTTGCATGGGATTCTCTCACGTGGGTTAAGAGCCATGATTTCTTTAATAGGTGCAAGATGGGTGAATTCGGAGTTTCCATGCATTGAGTTATTTGGAGAAGAATCTGATGTGTAACCAGTAGTAACAAGCTCGCCGATTCTATAATCTTCTAGCAATTTTTTGGCTTTGTCGGAGTGGATAGCTTCGAATTCATCGGTACAATCCGTACCGGCGTTGATGAGGATGCTGTCCGACCCTCCGGGGTGCTCTTTAAGGAAGCGGGTGCAGTCGTAGACATGGCCGTGGACGATGATCCATGCCGAATCAGGGGTTTTGTGTTTTTTAACTTCGGAGATGGAGTATGTTTTTGATGTTGTGTTCATAAAAGGTGAAGAGACACTTTTTTTGAGAATTGGGTTGGTTTCTTGTGATCTTTCTAACTGTCTTTTTTTTTCCATCCAACCACCTGATTGGTTACCTGGTTGTGTTGGGTGTTCAAACACGATACCTATTTCTCCTTTGTGGGGCCTACACACGTTTGTTTTCACCCTAAACCAACAATTGTTCATCATGCCCTGCAAATTGCCAACACCAAGAAATATTCATTAGAGTTTATTCTAATACAAAATACATCTTCATGTCACTACTATAACTAAAATATTACTCTCACCCGTCAAACTAAATTATACTTCGTCCCAAATTAAAAACGTTAATATTTTACATTAATTAAGAAATTTAATTTTACTTTATAAAAAAGACAAATTATTATGATTTTATAATAATATCCCTCATAATTATATAGGAAAGAGAAATTAAAATAATTAAAATAATAAATAATAATAAATGTTTGAGAGTATATTAGAAAAAATATCATGAATATTGCATTTGAGAATGTAAAACAACTTATAATTTATGACAAATATTTTGTTAAAATAACTTATAATTTATAAAAAAAATTCAGATGAGTATAGAAAATAGGTAGTTTTTAGTGTCTATGTGCTAGTGACAGGGTGTTCATTTTAGGCTAGTAGTTTACCAATGAGAGTAAGCCCACATATCCATAAAAGTACGTTGCCATTTAGTGTTCAAATAATAGGTGCCGACATATCAGTGTGCAAATTGTAGCACAATGATTTGTGGCCTTTAATTAACCAAAATTATCGATAATACTAACGTGTCTTAAAATAAATGGTGAAATGTTGTTTTAAAAAATGGTGTATTTTTAAATAGTAGTATATCAAAATTAAGTTTTAATATCATCTATAAAGCAAAGTCCAAATTGGTTATGTGAGAAGAAAACCATATATACGTATACTTGAGCAAATGGAGATTAATAAATTAATATTATCTCAGTTAGTCCTTTTCTTTGAACATTTCTCTGGGTTTTTCAAAAAGCAACTTGTTTTCCAAACAATAAGTTTATATAGTATAGAAAAAATCTGAATCAATTATTATATGAGAATGATTATTTACCATAACATTCCAAATGAGGTTTTCAGGTTGGGTATTAACTGCCTCATCCCAAGCTCGAACAGCAATTTCTTTGGTCCCTAGAAGGTCCAGTACCTCTACTTCTAAAGACCAAAAACACCAGCACCAATACTTGCCGTATTTTGTGGGTTTTTCTGGATGCTCCAATGTGCAAACGTGCCATGTTTCTCCACCGTCCATTGTTACTTCAACTCTTGTCACTTTTCTTCCACCCCCTGTATTTACACCATCAATGTCATTTTTCAGGTCAATAAAAACACTTACTTTTCAAGTCCCTGCCTAACAATTACAAGTTGGAAAATTTGACGTTCTCTTCTTGTATTCTACCAATTTTAAAGATCAACCATACATTAATATTCCTAATTAGATATCTTTTGAGTTACATAATATTCATGTCGGGCTCAAGAACTAACCAAAGTCAATATCACATTTCAAGACTTTTTGTTGATTACAATATATGTATATTCTCTCTGCTTTTATTTATAAAAAAATATTTTTTAGATTTATTAAATTCATATTGTATTTGATCTATACATTGTTTTAATATATTATTTATTTAATATATGAGTTTAATTAATATACACCGTAAATGTAAAATTCTTTTAAATTATTATTTAATACAAATTTATTAATGTGTCATGTCATATTATTAATTTAAAATTTATAGTAATATATTTAAAAGAGTAATCAGTTTTTATAAATATAATTATAAGGAATATTATTTATCAATAAGACATCATTATATCATCTCTGAATATATGAGTCAATTTTATTAATTAGTAATTATTATTATGAAAATTAGTCATTCTTCCTTTTTTTTTTCTAATTTTGAAAATAGACTATCTTCTATTAATTTATTAATTTATAAAGTATTCCTTTGTCATAACATTCATTTCAAATTTCAATAGAATCTTATACTTTTTATTGTTTAACATAAAAATTTGTTAGTCTTTTGCTCACCTGCGTGATGACTTTTAAAACCCATGGATGGTTTAGACGGGGACAGATAAAACTTAAAAATATTGTTAGTTGTTCATATTCTTAATTAAAATATGGAATCTGTCAAAAGTTTAATTAAAAAAGATAAAGTGTTTAATCAAGATTCCCTACTCGATCAAACCCTCAAAAATATCATAAATATTCCAAATAAGAAATTATCAGTCAACACATATTTTGTACCAGAAGTCAAAGCTTTTTCCATAACTAACAAAGAGTATTCTGTAGAATGAAAACCATCAAATTGAACTCACCGGAATATGAATAACCTTTCAGTGTATAAGGCGTCTGCGTGGTCCATGAATTTATCGGCAAGATCTCATCGTGACACGGTGTTGTAATCACGGAGTTTATGTTCAGCTCGTTGATAATATACTCCTGCTTGTACCACCAACCTGCAGCAACACAATTTGAGACTATGTTGAATATAACGCTCTATAACACAGACATTTCTGAAGAAAAAAAAGATGCATCTGAATATCAGTATCATTGTCGTGTTTAGGTTGAACGTTTTTCGCAGTGTATATGTAGGTATTAGGATGATTAAGTTACCTTCTTCATTGGCTTGTTCTGCATCAACATGAGAAGGAAGAACTCTATTATCCTTATAATGATAATGACCATCACATTCATCCGAAGTAACAACAATCCGTTTCAGCCATTTCACCATGCGACCACCAATAAAACCCGGTATAATAACCCGAACCGGAAACCCATGATCCGGAGCCAGAGCCTCACCATTCTGCATGTAAGCAAGAATAACATCACGTGAAGGATCCATTGCAATTTCTCTCTTAATGCTAGTTCCATATTTCGATCCACCGCCACCAGGTAAATCCTCAGCACCGTAAAAACAAACATGAACCGCGCCTTTCGACCGTGCCTGGATCCCACAGCATTTCAGCACGTTGCGTAAGGAAACCCCGCGCCATACCGAGTTTGAAACCGCTGCAGCACCCCAGTTGAAACCAACGCTTTGTTTCACCATGTTTTGTTCCTTGCGACGGTTACCGGCGCAAACCAGTGTAACTGGAAGCTCCCGGCTGGGAAACTCCCGGACGAGACGGTCCATGGTAAACCGAGTTGGATTTTTAACCAACCCGGTAACTTCGACCGTCCAGTCTTCCCATCTGGCTTTTGGGACGGCGCCGTGGTTTCGGACGTAGTGAATTGGAACTGGAGTGATGAAACCGTGATGCATGAGACGACGGAGTGGTGGTTCTGAATTGAAGGGGTGTTTCCCTGTGAGACGGACCATGGAAGCGTTTCGTGTGACCCAGTTGTCTAAGGTTCCTTCGTCTCGTGGGTCGAGAATGGACGGTTCGACTTCCACGTTGGTTTTTCGTATGTGTTCTTGGAGGTTCAATGCGTTATCGTCGTCTTCCTCGTCGCTGCTGAAGGGATCTAAGTTGGCCGGGAATCCCGGTTTCAGGTCGTTGATGAAGTTGTTGCTGGAATTGAAGGTGCGAACGACGCCGTTTAGGCCACGATACTGACGGTTGTCAACTGAAGCGGCCATTTTGGAGAAAGAATTTTTTTTTTATTGGTGTTTTTTGTGACTTGTTTTGTTTCCTCGTTCCTTTGTCAGTTTGGGTTTGGGGTAGTGGAGAAAAGGAATTTGGTCATTTGAATGAGAGGTTAGATGGGATTTATATAGTGGGAGATAGAAGGACAGTCTGGCTTTACTAAAAGCTTAGCCCTCAGTTTTCGTACAGTTTGACAGTTTGGCTTGGCCATTTGAATCACTCCGTGACATCACTTTTTTTTAATATAAAAACAAATAAATAACTAAATTAATGGCTAAAATACGAGCCTTGCCTTTAAAATATCTAGGATTACCAATGGGTGGAGATCCGCAAAGAAAAGGTTTTTGGAAACCGATTTTAGACATATGCGAACTTGAGTGTTTGGGTGGAACAACAATTAATTGTTAATTGGCGGTAGAATTGTCCTATTGAAGTATGTGATATACACTCTATTAGTCTATTATCTCTCTTTCTTCAAAGTTGTCAGGTATAATCTTCAAATTTAAATTTATTTTTAAAATTTTTCTTTGGAGTGGGGATGACAATTTTAGAAAAATAAATTGGATTCATAGGGAGAAAGTTTGTCAAACTTGGGATTAAAAATCTTAAGGCCTTTAACTTGGCTCTATTAGAAAAATGAGAATGGAAGATACCAACGGAAAAAGACAATCCTTAATATAAAGTTCTACTCAAAAGCATGCAACCAAAAATTTTGCGTTTTCACTTCATCGTCCTTCCTCCAATTCTCCTCCTAGGAAAGAGATAAGGTATTATTGGCATTATAAAGTAGAAAAAGCAATTTATGAGTGAATACAAATGGATTTCTTCAAGTCAAACATATTCATTGCATTAATCATTCAAAACAAATAAGTTCTTACATGCAAAAACAATTGCGTTAACAAACAAGGAGGATTACATACAAAAAAACAGTAAACGAACTAAACATCTGAAAAGACATATGCCTAAAGAACAGTCTTCATACTCCAAAGCATCAATCAACCATGTGCACAGAGGAACCTGCTCCACGTTCTAACATCAAACTGACTTGAACCTTGGGATCACACATTTTGGAGGACATAATACACTCTTGGACCAGTTTTTGCACTTCCTTCTTGAGAGCAAAACAATTTTTGATGTTGTGTTCGGGTGCACCTTGATGAAAGGCATAAAAAGAATCGGCTTTGAAATAACTCCTATGACTCTTAGGGATAGCAGGTGGTACCATTATCTTGACTAACCCCTTCTGCACTAAGACAGGATATAACTTAGCATAAGACACCAGAATATCATCAGACTATATTCTTTCTCTGATTAAGCTGAGTAGAAGGAGGAGGATTGGGCTGATGCTGAGAAGCAGCCAGATCTTTAATCAAATCTTCCTCAACCGTCGTAGATCGGGACTCTTAAAACTGTACTTTTACGTATTCCTTCTTCCAATATCCATAATTAATGATATTTGAAATATTTGCAAAAAGCACTTCTAAGTTCCTTGAAATCTTAAGAAAAATGCTCATGAATGCATGAGTGCATATAGAGTAAGGGGGTAGGTTATGCTAAGGGAATGTGTTAGCACCCAAAATGTCTATAGTACTCTATAGGAACCCTTTGAAATATCTACGCTTTTTGGTTTAAAATGTTTGCTTGAAATGAGATTGGGGAGATGAGAGAAAAACTATTTTTTAAGATTTTGTGTTTGGAAAGACTTCTTAAGCCTCATGCCTACGTACCCACAAAGTGAAATATAGGATCAAAACTTTGTAGTTCGTGGTACAAATAACAAAATTTGTTTGTTATGGTTCATTTTAAATGAAAGACAAGTCGTCATTTTAAGGGAAAAAAACTACGACTAGTCACCCACAAGTATAAGAAAACAATATTTGCATCACCTTGAGATGAAGGATTTTGCTTAGATTAAAATCAACAAATCTATCACTCAACATCTAAGTGGAAAATGTAAACATCTTAAATACTATGGAGAATAGGAGAATTACATCTCAACTATGAAAATGAGTCATGTCTAAACTTTATTAAAAGTTTTAAATGAAAAAGTGCACAAAGGCACAAAAGGATTGAATGAGTTTTTGTATTTTTTATGTCTTTTAAAATTAGTCAAAGTATGATTAATATTGATTTACATTCATTAAAGAAAGAAAATTTTAAAAATCACTTGACCAAAGTCAAGGTTTATTGTAAAAGTTGTTTAATTTTGAAAACGAGAAGGTTTTGAAAAAGAGAGAAGATTTTTAAAATTGAAGAAGGGGAGGAGATGAAGTGACTACCCTAAAACAAAAAACAAAAGCTAGGGAAAAAAGAGATCTAACCACACAAGGAGCAAACACTTGACAAAAAGCCAGCATAAGCATTCCTCTTCCTTTTTGGATTTAAGCCATAAACATAATAGCAGATGAATTAAAGCATCTGAAGAAGTCCTAAGTTTAGCCATAACAAAGAAAATTAAGGTCTTCCTAAGGGTTAAAAGCCCATTAGAAGAGTCATGCATCAGATTATTTTCACAATGTCAAAGTATCAACACCTGCATATAGAAAATTTCCAAAAAAACAGACAAAAGTAACACCAAGGTCCAAGGTCTCAAATCTCCAAGAGCATAGGGAGAGGGTCCTAAATCTAGGTCCAAAGTCCAAGTTCAAGTATAAGATCACAATAGTTCAAAATTAAGAGAACCAAGTTTTTTAGGTGTTTTAGTAATTATTAATGTCTTAAGAGAAATATGGTCCAAATGGACAAAACAAAAAGAGCAAAAGCATAAACAAAGGTCCAAGTGGACAAAGAGAAAACAAGATGATAAAATGATATAAAATGCTAGAAGTAAAAGCATAAAAAATAAATGATAAGAAATAAAAAGCAAGAATTAAGTGGCACAAAGTAAAATTAGTATAATTATATAGTTAGTATGTTAATATTAGTGATGAAGAACAATTTTGTCGTTTTTTGAAGAATACTAGACTAATCAACCATAAGCATGAAAACATGAATCTATACATCATTAAGAGAAGGGCTTCAACTCGGATTAAATCGACGAGTATACCAACTAGCTCTCCTAATGACAAAGAGACAAGCTATTTCAAACCACACTATGGAGAGTAGGAGATTGACAATATCGCTTACAAAAACAACTTGATTTCCGATTTCCGGACAAAATATAGCGCTATGTTAAGCAATTGTAGCACGACCTATGAAGAAGGTCATACTATGGGAGGCCGGTCAATACACTATTTGTGCTAACACAAGCTAGAGAAATGACATGCAGGTCAATCTTCTAAAGCTTGCCACACTTAAAAGAAAAGAGATAGTGGTCTCATCTTGATAAAGAACTTAGAAAAGTTCCATGACATTTAAGATTTTCATTAACCAAAAGAAAAAAGAAGAAGAGTGGAGAAGGAAAACCAAATTGAATCACAACATTTTGATCATTTCTTCTTCAATTTCCATCACTCTTCTTGGTGGATTAAAGTACTAAACTTATCACTAATTCAATGCACCTAAAATGAATCCAATGATTCACTTAAAGATGGATTTAAACTAATGAAGATTTATCCAACTTCATCAAACACCCAAATTCCAGGGAATTTGAAGAGAAATTTGATTGGGCTCAATTGGAAGGGGGAAGCAAATAGCATCAGAGGCCCAAGACCAAACCACAAGTGAAACGCACTATTTCACTTAACACGCGTGGCAGTCAACATCACACATCAGTCAGTCAGAGAGATCTCATCCGTTGATCTCGCTTGGTCAAACATTCCACGCACACACATGGCAACCGTGTAGGCAAAACAGAAATAAAACCAGACGCCGGAGCACTGTTCTCCAATCGTCTTCTCTGACGCACCTGGTCGGAGCTGAGATTCAAAACCTCACCAATTTCAACAAAATTTTAGAGCAAAATGAACGCCAAGTTGCAAGGATCATGAATCCAGGTTTCATTTTCATTTATCATGCGTAAACAAAGAGAATCGAAGCATGGAAAAATCAAGCACCAAACTGAAATCATCACAAACAAGCCAAATAATGAACCAGAATTTGCCTACACATGTAGGTCTTCAATTTGCAACAACAATGGAGTGAAATGGATGCATATTTTGAGAGAAATCTTGATTTGAGGATTACCTAACGGAGCCTCTCCGTTGGAGCTTCTAATGGTGCTTAAGCTTGCTCAAAACTATCCAGATTCACTCAATAAAGTTCAGGGAAGATGATTATAGCCTTGATTTGCTTTGAATTTTCTCCAATCTCAATTCACGATTTAACTTTTGCTCTTCAATTCTCCAACTGTAATCTCCTCAATTCTCCATCAAAATTCATGAATGAAGCTTCAAATTTCATCGAAAGCTTTTATATGTTGGATCTAGAATGATTTGGAGGCCCAATTTGGCCTGATTAGAGTGCAATTCAAAAATGCCCAAATTGGAAATTCAAGCTTCACGCACACGTAAATTGGCTTCAATTTCCTTTGAAAATGATTCAAACTAGTTGCTGGGAGCTTGTAGTGATCATGTGGATGAGAATTGATCCTTAATTTGATCCAACGGTGGATATTGGATGTGAAACTTCTTCTTGAAGTAAGCTTGAATTTACTCGTGTAATTGCTTGCATACCTTAAATCCAATTTGTGAATTCTCCTCGTTATAATATTGTGACTCAAAATAAGCACAAACATGACATGAAAATGAATTAAAACCATTTCAATTTAATTCATGACTTTAAGTTCAAATTTCCATGGAATTCCTTCACCAATCTCCTCATCCAAGCATAATTCATGATAATTTGATGTTCCATGATGAAATTGATGTCATTCGGAGCAACTTTCATGTTAGAGAAAGTTTCATTTGAAGTGCACAAGTGAATGAAAATGACCTATAATGAAAATGACTTATAATCTCACTTTCCCAAAATACCCCTGCCTTGCAAGCCTCATAACTTGAGTTCTGGAAATGCGATGAAGGACTTATAAGACTTTTTGGAAAGCTAAAATCAC